AAAAAAAAAAAAAAAAAAAAAAAAAAAAAAAAACCGAGGGCTGTGCTCAAGGGCACAAGGGTGGATCTTCTGCAGCACAGGAGAGAAGAAGCCAGAATGATAGAGGAAGTTGCAGGCCACAAGGAGGTGGAGATGAGGAAGTCCTGCCCCCCACTCAGTCCTCCAATGAGAAGACCCAGGGAATGTGGATCACTTTACCCTGATTCTCTCCTGACTCCTGAGCACCCAGGGTTCCTTCACGGGGCCTCCTCTCCTTCCTGATGGCTCTGCTGGTCTCACTTCCTGGAGGGATTCCAGACATGTCTTCGGTCCTGCTTCTGCTGCTGGCAGCAGCCTGCCTGCAAGCTGGTGAGTGGTGGGAACCTCACTACTGGGGACCTAATCACAGGAGCATGGAGTGGGGCTGGGAAGAGTGGGTTGTCCTGTGGACAGATGACGGCAAGAGGAACCAGCCTGTCCTCTGAAACACAAGAAATAGCTCATCTTCAGAGTGAGTTCTTCTCAACTCCTCCTGTCTATCCTGCCCCCTACTGGACAGTGGGACATGGGGAAAGTCCTTCCCTGAGTCCTCCTCCTGCCTGTGGTAAAGACTCAGGAAGCTCTGGGGTGTCCTTTCCATCCCCTGCAGTGGTTTCAGATTCTTCCCCAACCTTCCCAGGGAACTCAGCAGGATACAACAGAGGAAATACCTTTGGTATCAACCAACCAGCACGCCTCTCTGGTGTCCAGGGCGGCTCCATCGAGATTCCCTTCTCCTTTTACTTCCCCTGGGAGTTGGCGAAGGATCCACAGATGAGGATTATCTGGAGATGGAAGCAGTTCCATGGGGAATATATCTACATCTCCTCCTCGGGTTTCATACATGAGCATTTCAAGAACCGGCTCATCCTGAACTGGACAGAGCCTCAGACATCCGGAGTCCTCAGAATCCTGGACTTGAAGGAGAAGGACCAGACAGTGTACTTCTGCCAAGTCCGTCTGAACACAAAACATCGCATAGAGCAGTGGCAGTCACCTGGTGGGACCCAACTCAACATCACCCCAAGGAAGCACATCCCAGGTCAGCCCTGTATTCCTGGCTTTTTTATACCATAAGTGTCATTGGAGATCTTACAAGTCTGATCCTTCCCAGATTCCTCTGGTGTGTTCTATCCACTCTCCAGAGCTCTGCCTTTCTTTTTCCCATAATCACCTGCAAGCCTTAGCATCTCTCTCAAAGCTGTGCCCTCATTGTGCCCTCCACAGAAGGTGCCTTCTGGCCCCCATGTACACCCCTCCTCCTCTGGGTCCCTGCCCCAGTTTCATTTTCCCTCCCCCAGTTTCCTCTTCTCCCTCACGTTCTCACAGTGACCAGGTCTTCTGGTTGCTTCCCTTCCATTGTGGCAGCTGTGACTTCCAGCTTCCACCCAGAGTGCACTCAGTCCCAGCCCAGTTACCGTGTGTGTTACCCCTCACACCTGTCACCACTGCTGGGCACTCTCATGGTCATTATACAGAGAGAGAGACATGGAGACCAGCAGAATTCAACCCCTGCCCCAGGTCATACTGGGGACCAACAGACCCCACATGGACCCTTTACCTCCAAGCGTCTCTCAACTATAGACACATGGTCTCTGCTGGAGTTCGCTCTATTGTTTGCCTCCCTTTTATCTTGATTTTGTGGAGCATGTAAATATGGTGTAAGCATATATGTATGTGTGTGCATGTGTGTCTTGTATGTTTGTGTGTGTGTACATATACCACATTTTTGTGCTTGGGAAGGCCAGAGTGCGGCACTAGGAATCCTCCTCTAGTAAGACCGACTTTATTCCCTTGAGGCAGGGTCTCTCACTGAAGCTGGAGCTCACTGTTCTGGGCTAGACTGAATGGCTACAAAACTGCATTGATCCTCTTGTCTCCATCTCCTATGGTGTTAAGGTTACAGGTGACCACATGGCTTGTCGTACAATGAAAGTGTGTGATATATCAGGAAGGAACACCTAAGGTAAAAACCTGGAAGAGGAACTGAAACAGAAGCCATGGAGGAGGGCTGCTTTCTGGGCTTGATCAGCCTGCTTTGATTATAGCACCCAGGACCACCATCCCAGACATGGAGCCACCCACAGTGAGCTGTGCCCTCCCACATCAATCAAATCAAGAAAATGTCCTACAGACATGCCTATGGGCAATCTGATGGAGGCATTTTCTCAGCTGAGGTCCCCTTCCCAGATAACTACAGCTTTGTCAAATTGACACAATAACCAACCAGAGCACAGGGCAAGTGCTTTCTGGACTGAGCCATCTCCTCAGCTGCTGACCTGCCTTTTCTCCTCTCAGGACTACACTTCCTTAGTGACTCTAACCTTATCCATGACAGTGGCCAATGAGACTTTTTACCTCTCAGTCATTACTCAACCCCGACACCTCCAACAACTTTGTTTTTTGTTTTGTTATTTTGGGACGTTCTTGGAAAGAAGGTAATATACAAGTATAAATATCTGTGCATATACACACACCAAAGTATACACACATGTTTGCCTACTCCCTGTTAAGATTAGGGCAACAGAGAAAATTCTTTATATATAAAAGAGTCTGGAACTGAATAGTAATGATGGCTGCTCTGGCTCCACAAAATGAATGCACTGTAAGCTACTGGACCGCATATTGCTGAGTTCAAATGATATATCGTACATTACAGATATTTATAACTGAGGCAGGGTCTCACTATGTAGCCCTAGCTGGTGGAGAACTTGCAATGTAGACTAGATGGGCCTTGAACTCACAGAGGTCTTCATGTTTCTGCCTCTCGAATGCAGGGTTTAAGGTTTGTTCCACCAAAGTCAGCTTAAAGGTGGCATTTTTAAGTGGGCTGGTGCAAATATGTGATCCCAGTGGAAGGTGGAGGCGAAGAGATCAGGAGTCTAAGGTCATTAGCTACACAGCAAGTTCAAGGCCAGTCGGGGCTACATGGACTCCATCTTTAAATAAATGTTAAGAGTAGCTAAGAGCATTGGTTTTGTGATTGTGAGGACCAAAGTTCATCCCAACACCCATGGAGGAAGCTGGGTGTCCCTGCATATGCTGTGACACCAAGGAGGTGGAGACAGGAGGATTGCAGAGTTTATCGGCTTTCAGTCTACCTGATGCATTAGCCCACATTTCACAGAGAGATGCTGCCCCTGAGGAATAGATGGAGATTGTTGTAAGAGGACACAGAAGCCTCTTCTGCCCCCACATGTATGTTCAGGTGAACATCTCTATCCTCCATGTGTGTGTGTTTGTGTGTGTGTGCTCATGTGCTTTTGTGTATAGATGCATGTATGTACACTCAGCAGACACATACTACACACACACACACATTAAACAAACAGCAAAAATATTTTAGTAGTATTTGATTAAATATTTCATACAATTTACAATGTATTTTTATATCTACATCAAAAAAAGCAGCAACTTCTGCAATAGGTTCTTACCATCTAGCTGGGGTGGGAAACCAAGAGCAATCACAATAGTCTGTGTGGGTTTGGGGGCTCTGAACCTCGCTCACTGATAACGCATTGTGGGGCAAGCCATGCCTGGCACTGAGAATTTGTTCAATAACTCACGTCTAAGGAGCAGCCTTGTCCACCCTGGCAGGCTACTTCTGCTCTAACAAGGACTGTTACTAGAAAATGACTGTTTAGATCTGGGTGACTTAGAGATTGCTCTCTTTAGGGGATGACATGAGTGTCTGAGGACATTCCTACCAGGAAGTAGAGTTGTCATTGCTCACCCGATCTCAGCCTCAGCATCTGTTCCCTTCTTCCTGTGTGAGCTTCTAAGAACTGCTCCCCATCCCGCATCCCCCAAAGGAGACGAGATACCAGACAATGCAGTTCTATGGTCTAGGTCTGGAGTTAGACTCACTGCTCTAAGCAAAGAAAACAGCCAGGCCTCTAAATTATGCTTCTGGGCTGTGCTGTTATCAGTTGTTCTGATCCTGGTAATCAGATTTGGGGTGGGTGAGTTGGATTTATTTACATTAAGCGATATTAATGACCAGTGGTTGCTATCTCCTGCTAATTTAGTTTTCATCATTGGTGATATGAATTTGTGCATTTTTTCTTCTTCAGGATTTGCTATAATGAGATCATCAATTGTCTGTGTGTTTGTTGGTGTAGCCATCTTCCTTGATTTGGAGTTTCCTTCTAGTATTTTGTGTAGGGCTGGATTTGTGGCTAGGTATTGGTGAAATCTAGATTTGTCATGGAATATCTTGTTTTCTCATTTTATGGTGATTGACAGTTTTGCTGGGTGTAGTAATCTGTGCTGGCATCAGTGGTCTCTTAATGTCTGCATAATGTTCGACCATGACCTTCTGGCTTTCATCATCTCCAATGAGAAATCAGGTGTAATTCTGATAGGTCTATCTTTATATGTTACTGGCCTTTTTCCTTTGCAGCACTTAATTTTCTTTTTTACTCTGTATGTTTAGTGTTTTGATTATTATGTGGCAAGAGGACTTTATTTTTGGATCCAGTATATTTGGTGTTATGTAAGCTTCTTGTATCTTCATAGGCATATCATTCTTTAGGTAGGGATAGTTTTCTTCTATGATTTTGTTAAATAAATTTCTGTGCCTTTGAGTTGAATTTCTTCTCCTTCTTCTATACCTATTATTCTAAGATTTGGCCTTTTAATGGTGTCCATATTTCCTAGATATTTTGGGTTAAGCTTTTGTTAGAGTGAATGCTTTCTTTAACTGATGAGTCTATTTCCTCTATTGCATCTTCAGCACTTGAGATCCTCTTTCCCATCTCTTGTATTCTGCTGTTCATGCTTGCATTTGTGGTTTCTGCTCTTTTTCTCATGACTTTTGGTTCTATAATTTCTTCAGCTTCTATTTTCTTTATTGTTTCTATTTCAGTTGTCAAGTCCTTAATTGTTTCTTTTATATGTTTCATTTATTTTTTGGGGTTTCTTTAAGTGATTTGCTCAATATTCCAATTTTTTGTTTGTCTTTTCCTCAATTTCTTTAAGGGAATTTCTCATTTAGTCTCTAAAAAATTCAAACATTTTCTTGAAGTTATTTTTTAGGTCATCTTATTCTGGTTCATCCATTTTTGGTTGTTCAGGTCTTGCTGTTGAGGGGTCTTTAGGTTTTACTAGTATTGTGTTGCTCTTTGTGGTGTAGCATGTAATCTTACTTTTCTATTCATTTTTTCCTCTAATAGGTGTGGTTGAGGCTATCTAAGATTCTGTTTAATAATCTTCTAGGTATCAGTGAATCCAAAGCTCAGATAGTTGTTCCTTGTGGTACAGTCAGTGTCACAGTTCTAGTTACCCCTATGGTTATTCAGTGTTCCTGGAGATAGCTCAGTGCTCCTGTGCCTTGCTCTGCTCCCTTGCAGTTTCCTGTCTCGGGCCTACTTTGGCCTAGGTTGCTGGCTTTGCCTAGTTTCTGTAAATCCTGGTCTGGATCCCCTCCTGCAGAAGTCCCTGGTTTGGAGTCGAACCTGTTCTGGTGAAGATCGCTGACTCTGGATCTGGTCACTGGCTCAATCCTGATCCACCAGTGTCCCAGGACTGGGTTGGCTTCAGGAACTGGATTTACTTCTGGCTTCTTCTCCAGGTGGAGCTATTTGCTCTCTGTCCTAGGTAGCTGGTTCTGTCCCACTCTGGTTCTGATGGAGATGCTAACTCTGAGTCGGGTTGCTGACTCAATACTGTTCTGCAGTGTCTCAGGGCTAGGTTGGCTTCCGGGACTGCATTTGCCCCTGGCTTCTGTTCCCCAAACATTGACAATTCTTCATATGCATGCAGAACCTAGAGGAAACATTCAGGAGCAGTTCCCTTATTTTTCAGACAGTGTCTCTCACTAGCTTCAAGTTTGCCAAATAGACTAGGCTGGATAACCAGTGAGCCCCAGGGACATGCCTGTCTCAGCCTCCTTTTACTGGGACACAATCCACTCAACTCTGTTTGGTGTGGAACTAAATATATATAGACAGGCTGGCTTTAACTCACATAGATCTGCCTTCCTCTGCCTCTAGGGCTAAGATTAAAGGCCATGCTCAGCTCTCCAGGCTCTTCAAATGGATTCTAGGGATCAAACTCATGGTTTAAATTTCCTGAGAGCAATCACAATACAGACTGAGACATCTGTTTGTTCCATGCATTTATGACCAAAACAACTGTATTTCTATAGCTTAATTATCTGTGACCAAATGTAAATCTGAGGAAACACAGCCAGGACAGGTGGAGGGTGTGCACTGAGCTTGCTCAGCATGTGTTCCCCTCTGTGAACTTCTAACAGCTACTCCCCATCCTACCTCCCACAGAGGAGACAGATGTGACACTCACCCCATCCCTCCTCATCCAGGGAGCATCTGCTCATTCCTCATCTCTCCCCAGCAGTCAGCACCCCCATGCAGAGCCCCTCCATCGTCACCTCTGCAGTCACCTCGGCTGGACTGGAGGACACAGAGGGCCAGAGGAATCCTTCACTTGTGAACCTGGGAGCCACGGTCGGGGTGGTGGTGGCCACGGCTGTGCTCATAACCCCCGTCTATGTGATGCTGATCTTCCTCTGGTGGAAGAAAAGGTAAGTGGTCCAGGACAGGCTCCCACCTGAGCTTACCTCTGAGTTTTCTCGGTTTTTGGACATGGAGATTGGTAAATGTACTAGTCAGGGTTCTCTGGAGTTACGGAATTTATGGAATGAATATATGTATAAATATATAGTGAAATATACTTTTGAATATATAATGAATAATGGGAATTTATTGGAATGACGTATGGCTGCCGTCCAACAGTGACTAACTGTGAATAGAAAGACCAACAGCCGAGTAGTTGCTTAGCCCCAGGGGCTACCTGCACATTTGGAAAGAGCTGTGGCTGCTAAACAAGGTCTGAGGTAGAGCAGCCTTCAGGGACAGCCTCTCACAGGAGGTGAGACCGTGAACAGAGAGAACTGCATGAGTTGGGGATATGATATCAACACAGAAGTTATACAATGCTGTTCAATAGACCCATGGGTGAAAAGAAAATGGCTAGGAAGAGCCTACACTAAGAGAGGTGAAAGATTTGTACCCTAAAAACCACACACTGCTGAGAGAAATTACAGAGCAGCAAGGAGACGGCTCAGTTGGTGAAGTGCTTGCCCCACAAACACAAGGACATGGGTTCCATCTCCGCGATTCACAAGTAATGTTGACTATGTGGGCAGATACTGGACAGGAAGAGACGACAGGATCTGTAAGGCTCATTGTGCTGCCAGGCTTGCCCAATCAGTGAACTCCAATCAAGGGCAGACGTGTCCCCAAAGCTATAGAGGACAGCTCCTGCAGGATGATACCCAAGGTTGTCCTCTACAACTCACATGCGTGTGCATGTATGCAAATCTACACATACATATATGTACTGCACAAAATAAATTTATAAAAAGTAGGAAAATACTGAAATATGTAAGAATATTTACATAATGGAAAATGTTATTTTATACAGTAACTCCTTACAATGAGAAACAGTCTAAAAAGTCAATAAGTGCCTATCCAAATCCCAACTGCCATTTTGTAAAGACAAATGATTTGTCTTCTAATTTCAAAAGGATTCTAAGAAAAAATATGGGAACACAGTAGGGGACACCCTAATTCCAACATTGGGAAGTGCACCAGGGGAATTAAGAGTTCAAGCTAAACTGAAGCTACATAGAAAGTTGAATGTCAGCCTGGCTTCCACAAGAGCTTGAATACACATAAAATAAAAAAAGCGTGGACTGGATTCAGAGCAGACTTAAATCCATAGTAAGTAGACTACAGGACAGGAGCAGAGATGAGCAGATAGTGGAGTGTAATGGAAAGCCCAGGAATACAGACATGAACATGCAGGCCCTGGTTTTCAGAAGGGCTCAGCCTTAAAATGGATAAGAAGAGCAACTGAGAGGTGGAGAGCAGCAGTCTGGGAGGAAGTAGAACTCTGACTTGGATTTGAACCCTGGGACTGAATCTGCAGGGCGCAGCTGCTACACTCATAGGGACAGCCAGGAGGCCAGGTTCCTGGGAGACAGAAGGGAGGCCTGGTGAGTGCAGAGCAGGGAGAGCAGGGAGGGGACATGAGGTCAAGGCAGGGGAAGGAAGCAAAGGGAGAAGGACATGGACAAGGGGCAGTGGACAGGAGAGCTGTCCTCTGATTGACTGTGCAGAAGGACAGTTGAGGACAGGCTTCAGGTCCCTGAGGAATCTTAATCCTGTCCCTGATTGGCTGCTACAGAGCTGTTTGCTGCCCTGAGCCTCTAATGTTGTCTGAACACAGAAAACAGCTGTGAGGCAGACAGAGGATCAGCATGGCTGCCACACTGACACTGGTTCTTCTCCTACAGGCCAGCAGACTGAAGCTGAACCCCAGCCAGGTGAACAGCTGTCATCCCAAGGAGCAGGTGAGGGGATGTTTGAGGAAGTTTGTTATGAGATGCATGCAAAGGAGCTAGAGAGATGGCTGAGTTAGAAATCCTTGCACACGGGCAGGAGGACCTGCGTCTCACTGGGAGCACCCACACTCTAAACCAGGAGAGTGACAGAAATATGTAATCCCTCTTTGGACAAAAAAGAGACAGACAGAAGCGTGGAGCTGTTCATCCAGCTAGACTAGCATAATTGCTGAGTTCCAGGTCAATGAGAGACCAGGTCATAAAAAATAATGTGGATTCTTCAAGGGGATAAATTATGGTCATGGCATTTTCTGTTTATTTTTAATGAAGGGTTTGAAAATTACATATTAATGGACAAAAAAGTGGGGAGCAGAGAGATAGTTCAGTGGGAGAAGGTGTCTGCAGCCAAGACCAATGACCTGGGTTCATTTGGGGGACATAAATGGGGAAGAAAAAAACTGACTACAGAAACCTGTCCTCTCCTTCTTAGGCACAGCACTGTCTGCTTGTCCCCAGCTACCAGAAAACCAGGGGCCAGCATCGCTCACCAGGGGGGTGAGTTTCCATCAAAGTAGGATTTGCTGGCCACACTTGCTGTATATCAAGCCCTTCCCTGACCACAGCCTGGAAATCAGAGAGCAGGGCTGCAGGCCTGTGCTGTGAAACATCTGTCCATGGACAGGTACAGAAGAGAACCCCACTTCTGCCACGTGTGCTCTGATTTCCTTTCCTTGGAACCCAGTCAGCTTGTCTTTGCTGGTCCTGGGATCCCAACTCTGCTGTTTCCTATCTGTCCATGGAATTAATAACACTTTTTAATAAATATCCTACTCCCCAGACATGACCTCATGTCTCTCTTAGTGCTGCCCCCCACACACACACACACACATGAGACCTTAGAGAGTAGCAGATTGTGTCCAGGAACAGAGACACAGAGAGAAGCAGGTAACAAGGTCCACACTAAGAACCACTGCGTGAGAACCCTGTTCCTCTCTCCTGTTCTCCCTGGACACTGACATCTCAGCCACAACCCTAGGCCTCTCCATGCTCCTCCTCAGGTGATAGACCATGGCTTGCTTGGGTCCCATGTTGGGCTTCCTTTCATCACAGGCCCATCTACAAACACTCACCTTCCTTATTTCATACCAGGTGGATATTCTGACCTCTGGGGTCTCCCATACTCCAAGACTTCCATCCCAAGACAAGTTTGTCTTAAAGTTTGATAGGCAGTGGATCAGCTTCTACCAAAGAGCATGCTGGGACATAACGACAGCATCCACACTGACCATTAAGAATAAAATCCAGGTTGCTCTCGCAGCCAAAGGAGGTGCATGGGCACTGTAGCAGGGTGACTGTAGTTGGCCCCCATAGGGAGTGGCACTCTGCAGATGCATAGCTTTGTCGGAGTAGGTGTGGCCTTGTTGGAGGAAGTGTGTTTTTGCGGAGGTCTCAGTTCTATTCTCAGTCGATGCTCAGGGTAGATACAGTTCACTTCCTTTTGCCTGTGAATTCAGATGGATAACTGTCAGCACCTACTCCAGCACCATGTCTGCCTGCATGCTACCATGACTGAGCTAGTCACCCCACCACTTACTGGGCTTTGGACACAGTAAAGAGTCTCTTCTTGGGGCTCCCCTCTACAGGGGTGCAGGGAGGTGCTCACACTGAGGGTGGACAGCACAGAAGGAAGATGATGAAGATGATGATGATGTCATCCTTGGTGAGAAAGAATGGTTCAGATGGAAGCAGGTCAACTGGGCTACTGTAAGATCCTAGCTGCAGCCTGAACGTCCTGTCTACACCACAGGTCATCATCTTCCACCCTCTCTCTAGGATCCACTCAACTCTCTTCAGGACCCAGTCTAGGCAGCTACTCTGAGTTCCTTCTGGGCACTCTTCGATGTCACTGGGGAAAAGAATTCAAGGAGTGAGAGAGTGGATGCTGTGACACATGGGTGGACAGATGGACAGTTGTCTGCTGGGGCGGGGCCCATCTGCCCTTCACTGTGTTATTTGAGGGAAGTTTCTGGAATTGGATGGTTCAGACAGAAATAGGAAGGGTTGAGTCTATTCTCTGCCATCACTGTTATGGGAAAACACAGCTGGGTATAAAAACAGGGTCTGAATGCTGGGGACACAATCGGGAACTGGAGTCTGAGAGTCACAGAGGCTGGCCTTGGGAGGCCATGTCTACTCAGGATCAGGACTGGGTAGACATGTGGGGCCCATCAGCTATGGGTGTCTCCCTGCATGACATGTCTGTGTCTGTATTCAGCTGCACATGTGTGCATGTGTGAGCTCCCCTATGTGGAGGCCAGCGGACAAACTCAGGCGTTACTACTTAGAACACATTCCACCTTGGATTTGTTTCTTTGTTTGTTTGGTTTGGTTTTTACGAGACAAAATCTACAAAGCCATTGCTGGCGTGGAACTTGATGTATAGACCAGTACAGCCTCAAACTCACTGAGATCCACACGTGTCTGCCTCTCTGCCTCTGCCGCCCCAAAGCTGGAATTAAAGGCATGCACCATCATGCCTAGCCCACTTTATGTTTTAGCTTTTAAAATTACACTTTTTTATTCTGTGGGAGCAGGGCACACTTGTGCTGCAGCCTGAGCAGCAGCGAGGTTCTAACACCGCATTCTGACACTCCCCATGGTTGCATGTATGTACAAGCCCCATGTGTACAATGGACAGCCCCAGCCTGATGTTCCACAGAAAGTGCCCCTCCCCTATGAAAGCATCTTGGCGGCAGGGTCCTGTCACTGCTATTAGGAAAAACTGGGTTCTCACTAAAGGAAAATGATTACAGCCTCCTGGACAGAAATCGTCTCACAGCAGGGTCCCTATGGGGAAACAACTGAGTCCAGGACTTCAAATTAGAACAGAGTCCGATGGTGGCGCACGCCTTTAATCCCAGCACTTGGGAGGCAGAGGCAGGCGGATCTCTGTGAGTTCGAGACCAGCCTGGTCTACAGAGATAGTTTCAGGACAGGCTTCAAAGCCACAGAGAAACCCTGTCTCAGAAAAAAAGAAAAAAAAAAA